CCGGGTCCCCCCAGGCTCCAGCCACAAGTTCTCCTTCCTGAAGGGCACACGGCTTGGGGCAGCCCCTGAGGATGAAAAAACCAGCAGCCAGCACGAGGGGGCCTGGAAGAAGATGTCGGCCATCTACTCGCCCAGGATGGGCAGAGCCAAGGCAGCAGGGAAAGGTACCACCCTGTGGGGCTGCAGCACCTGACCAAGCTCTGCTGGGGCTTTGTTATTCCTCTGCTTCGTTGAGCATCACCAGCTTCCCTCTCCTCTATCCCTGTGCACAGGTACGAATGCAGCCACTGCTGCTCCTGTGGAGGAACGGTCTCTGGAAAGTTCCAGCTGCAAGAATGGTCCCTCTGTGCCCAGCACTGGCCCTGCTGGTCGGGAGCCTCCAGCCTGGCAGAACCTGCACGCTGGGCTGCTGCGCTCAGGCATCATCTGCCTGCCAGGTACTGCTGGCACCATGAGCCTGGGGAATGGGAGGGAGAGGCCTCTGGATGGAAACACAGGCTGCTGGAGTGTTTTGGAGGAAGGTTTCAGGGCTTTGCTGGAGGCCAGAAATACTCCAAGCGGAAAATTTTTTTTCAGCTGGGCAAAAACATTAAAAACATAAATGCAGGCAGCCTGTGCAGAGCAGCTGCCCCGGTCCCAGCCGCCCCAAGCCCTCCCACACCATTCCTCTCCAGTGAAGCTGTTCAGCTTTAGCTGCCAAACACTAAACATTTGGCTCCTTCTTTTTCCCAAGAACCAAAAAGCATTAACAAAACCCATCTTCTTCTCAGGAAAAACGTCCCCAACAGCTCTGGAATTCCAGACATTCATGCCAAGAGCCCCCCTGGGCTGGCTGTCCCCCTCCTAAAGGGCCAGAGGGGCTGCACCATGGCAGGCTGAGCTGAGGCAGCACTGATGGTTACCCCAGCCATTGTGGGGTGCTCAGGTCTGGCAGGTGGCTGCCAGAGGAGTCACTCACCCTTTCTCCACAGGGAGCTCGGACAGGCTGGGCAGGGCCCTCCTCCTGGTGACCACCAGTGGCAGTGCCTGGCGGGCTGCGTGGTGCTCAGCTGCCGAGCTGGCAAGGCTCATCCTCTGCCTCTGCTCCCTCCCCAGGTAAGAGCCAGCAGGACCTGCCAGGGACCCCCAGCTGCTGCCTGGCTCCCAGGGCTCCCAGGCCAAGTTGGGATGACACCCAACATCCCACACATTCTGGTTTGGGCACATCCCCGAGGTCCCTGGACCATGCCCCTGCCAGAGGCACATGCTCTGAGCCCTTGGCAGCGACATCCCACAGGGATGAGGCCACTGCCTGTGGGTTCCTGCCTGCCTGGAGGTGCAGAATGTGGGAGGGGGCTTTGAGAGGGCCCTGCCCCAGGGAAGGACACCCACTCCTGCTGTGTTTCCCCTCGGTAGGCAAGAAGTGAAGAATGGTGAGAGGCGAGAAGCGAAGGATGCTGGGCTGACGGTTGTGGTGGATGCCCGGAAGCAGCCGCCCGCTCCCGTCCTGTTCTCAGCCCTCCGCTCCGTCCAGGTATGCCAGGCTCTGTGTGCCTGTGCCATAGGCATGCCAGGGCTGTCCCTGTCTGGGAGGGAGTGCTGCCTCCCTTTGGGGGTCCTTCAGAGCCTCCTCTGTGCCTGCTCTCCATGTGATCCCCAAAGGTCCCTTCTGAGCCCTGCCATCACCCAGCAGGCATCACCAAGAGCCCTCCAGCATCCTGATATGTAAATTCACCAGGAAATGGGCTCTGCAGTGACAATCCACTGTCGTGGCTGAGTCCTTGTGCCAGTGCCCAGGTAGTGCCACAGGAGTGCCCTGTGCTGTCCAGGGGCTATGGGGTCCCCCCTGCCACAGCCTTTGTATGCCAAATAAAACCCACACTGGCCCAGGTGCTCATCACATGGAGAAATGTCACTGGTGTCAGAGAAGGGGCTCACTCATGAGGCTCTTCCCGTGGTCCTTTGCCAGGGAGGCAAGGTGGCAGGGACAAGGTCATGGCCTGAGGGACATGTTTCCATCTCCGACACCAGTGAGAGTGGGAGCCTTTTCCTTTGCAATGAGCTCACCAGCCTCAGCTGATCCAAGAAATTCCCATGCTGCCATGGGTGACCTGAGGGCTTTGTGTGGGGTTTGCCCTGGTCATTCTCCCCTGCCTCCCACAGAGTGTGTCTCCAGGCTGTATTCACAGCTTACTGCTCCTGGCTGAGAAGGAGCTGGTCTCCCACCGTGAGAAACTGCCTGGGGTGCAGGTGAGCCTGTCCCTGTCCCCTGAGCTGGTGCAATAGGGAGTTATTCTCTGCTCCAGGCAGCCTTACAAGCCCTGTGCCCTGCAGGTGGAGATCCTGACATCGCTGAAGGCTCTGGGCCGCCACGTCGACAGCTCCCAGCTGCCCCCAGAGCTGGACGGTGCCTTTCCCTACTGCCACGGCGAGTGGGTTCAATTCTTCCAGGTGTCTGTTACCACGCCATGAGCCATTGCCTCACCTCCCCCGTGTCCCTCTGTCCCCACTGCATCTTATGTGTCTCACACACATCCCTGGAAAAGCAACAGGGAGGGCTGGGAGAGGGGAATGAACAGGAGAGCTCTGAGTACAGGAGGGTCAGGCTCCTTCCTATGTGCTCCTGCCTGTCCACCTCCTCACTCCCTTCCTCATCAGCTTTAACCCAGTGCCTCACAGTATTTCCTGCTCTGTCCTGGCACTTCTCCTCCTCCTCCTGCTCCTCATGGGCAGGCTGCCCCCACTGACCCACGGTGTGTGCCCCACAGAAGCTGCAGCCCTTCACAGCCAGCCTCAGGCGGGCATCGGAGCTGCTGCAGCACTGCATCCAGGAGCTGCGGAACACCAACGCACTGGCTGGGACTCAGGTAATGGATGGCAGCACCACAGGTTGGGGACATTCCCAATGTGCCCATCTGCAGTGCAGCCACAGCAACTTTTCCCTCCAGTTCCCCAAAACTTGGCATAGCCATTCCCAGACTGGCTGTTCCTGGCCATGGGGCTGTTCCCTGTCCCCTCTGTCCTGCCTGGGGAGCAGCCCCTGTGCTGGCTGAGACCGCAGGTGAGGACCCAGGTGAGACACTTGTCTGACCCTCCCCTCCTCCACAGGATGCGGCTGCAGGCATCAGGAGGCACCAAGAGCTGATGCAGAAGGTGCTGAGTGACGCTCAGCTGGGGCGGGTGCAGCGCGAGGGAGGGTTCCTGCTGGCCCGGCTGCGCAGGGAGGCCGCCCGCCTCTGTGCTTCTGATCACATCAGGTAGGATGGGGCAGTTCCACTGCCAGGGGGTGCCAATGCCAGGGACCCTGCTCCTGCTGGCTGGCACAGCCATCTCCCCATGGACAGCCCGGTCCCGTGAGCCCAAGCTATTGCCATGATCAATCCTGCTCTGGAAGCATGGACCACATGTCTGGGACAGCCCATGGCAGGAGTCCCCTCATCCTCACTGGTGCCAGATCCCTGAGAGGGTCTCCTGCCCCAGGCCAGGCCAGATCTGTCGTGCTCCGCAATGCCGGCAGCAGTGCCTTGGGCTGGGCTCGGGAGAAGCCACTAGATGGGGCCAAGTCCCGGCCGTGCCGCGCCCGGCCAGCTGTGCTGTGCTCCTCTGGCCATGCCGTGATCGTCCGGTGATGTGCACTTGTCTGGCCGTGCCACACTCATCCGGTGATGTCACAATCTGGCCATGCATGGCTCCTCTGGCCATGCTGTAGTCATCCAGTAATGTCACCCCACCTGGACGCGCCATACCAGTGATGCCATAATCTGGCCGTGCTGTTGCTCCTCCAGCCATGCTGTAACTGGGCCATTCCATACTCACCCGGTGATGTCGCTGTCGGCCGGGAATGCTGCACCCATCTGGTGATACCGCACTGCTCCAGTCACACCATGCTGCCCCATGGTCATGCATTGAGGCAGCAATCCACTGATCCACTGCTCCCTCCTGCTCCCTTCTCTCCCTGTACTGATACACGGGGCTTTCCCATCCCGTGGTCCCTGCTATCCATTTGCTCCATGGGTTGGGAAGATGTCCAGGTGCTTGCAAGGCTGGGGTCAGGAGCTGGGCAAGAGACCTGCTCCCCTCCACTTTGTGCTCACCTGGCAGCGCCTGGCGCTGATGGCCTCCCTCCTCCCAACCCCCAGGAGCGGTATGGAGTTGGCTGAGGGGCTGTATAGTCAGCTGGAGGAAGAACTTCACAGCCTCGTGTCCCAGTCCAACAGCTGCCTGGCGCGCCTGCATTTCCTCCGCAAAGTCCGGGAGCTCGAGGCTCAGTTTGGCAAGGTGAGCTGGGTGTCCCTGGGGTGCCACAAGTTGAAGTTGCCCTCTGTGGTGTTCCATGGTTGAGTGTTTTGCTCGTGTTTCCTTTATTTCTGATGATGATAGAAGCCTGGAGAATGGCAGGATTGCCTGAGGTTTGATTTTCATTACGGGCGACTGTGTGTGACTGAGCCTGGGCTGGGATGCTGGGCTGGGGCAGGAAGGGGAGGTGCTGTGGACACACTGCTGCTGCCCTGGCTGTTCCCTCCTGATCCCTGTTCTGCTCTCTCACAGCTGGGGTCCTGGCTGGATGGGGAGGCAGCAGCTCGGCTGCAGGAGATGGGCACCGAGGACTGGAGTCCTGATGGCTGCCAGGGCTCCGCTGAGCACTTCAAGGAGTTCCTCACCCAGGCCACAGTATGTCTGCAAGGGCTTTACTGTAACAGACACCCCCTGGGTTTGGAAAGAGGCTTCTGGGCAGAACTGAGTGTCCCTGATCTATTGAGTCACACTGCAGTTGCACACTCAACAGTTGGGGCCTGTTGAGTCCCCAACATTGTGGGGATTCTGGGCAGTCCTGCTCCTGTGAGGGGGTGGCTCTTCCTAAAGGTGTGCTGGGCTGGGACTGCTGTCCCCAACCCCTGCTGCACTCCATCCATTTTCCTACAAAGCCTGGGCATCCATCAGACAACAAATAATGTTATGATGAGGATCTTCTGGTTCCCCTGGATGCCCTTTTGTCACACGCACTGCCGGGAGGGTGAGGCATGGTGACCCCACTCGGGACAGGAGGTCCATTGGGTGCATTTTAAACCAGGCCAGGGCAGAGCAGAGATTTGGAGAATCCCATTGCTTTGTTAGTTCTCACTTGCCCAGAAGTGTTTCCCATCCAGCTGTAATGGTGATGGATGGGCTAATGGCAATGCCAAGTGCTACCTGTAGTGCACGTACCCCAGGTCAGCACCATTCCCAAGTGTGGAGCTGTTCCCTCCTCCTGTCCCTGCAGGCTCGGTATCAGCATGGCCTGACCCTGTGCCAGGAGGCAGCTAAGATCCGAGGCCGGATGTTCCCTGAGGCAGACGCCCTCCAAGTGTCTGCAGCCCTTTTCCAGTCAAAGCTGATGAGCTTCTCCCAGCAGCTGGAGCGGCGGCAGGCAGAACAGGAGCTGCTGCAGGAGCTCGTCCGGTTCTCCAACAAGGTGAGTGCAGGGGATCTCCCCCTGCAGGACGTGGTGCTGCTGGTGGCCATGAAAGCAGCCACTGTCACCTCTTTTGCAGGTGGCAGGGCTGAAGCTGGACTGCCAGCAGTGCTCGGCCCGGGCGCAGCGTGGGGAGGGCCAGGCACTGCGCTGCCTCCAGAGATCCTTCCAGAAGCTCTCGGTGGAGTTCGCCCTGGAGAAGCTGAAGGAGATGAAGGCTCAGGTGCGCAGGATGCAGAGCAGCCAAGGGTTGGCAGCCTGGACAGAGGCACAGCACAAGTACCAGGAGACCCGGCAGACTCTGGAGGAGATGCTGGCAGAACTGCAGGAGGCCTGGGGAGCACAAGCTGACGGGCACGGAGACTCCTCCAGCCCCCCCAGCCCAGGCTCTGCAGCTCCTCACATGGAAGTCCCGGTGTGCAGAGCAGCCCCCAGCCCCGAGCCAGCAGTGCTGGGGGGCAGGGGGTTGGCAGAGCAGCCAGAGACCAGCACTGAGGGGCCAGGACAGCCCCAGGGGCCGGGACAGTCCCAGCCCAGCACCACTCCTGCCTCCACGCTGGGTGTGGAGCAGAGCTCTCTGCAGCCCCACTGCCAGCTGGAGCCTCAGGATGCCCACACCTCTCACCACCACGTCTCTGCTGACACCCCTCATCCCAAACCCAAGAGCAAATCCAGCCTGGGAGCGACAGGACACCTCACCCAGGAGCGCAGCCAGCCCCGTCGGAGGCGTCCCGTCACCCTGCCTCCCTGGACACGCTTCCCAGGAGCTGACCCACCGTGTCCTACTGCCATGCCCCAGGGGACTGCCTCAGATCCCAGCACAGCTGGTGCACCAGCAGGGCCACAGCCAGAAGCTGCCCAGTACTTCCAGATTTCCAGCCAGAGCAGTTTCTCCTCTGAAGACTCAGATTCACAGAACTCCATGGAAGAAGCCCCAGCAGCAAGCCTGACTTTGCCCGGGGATGTCCAGAGTCCCAGACCACCCTGCCCATCTGAAAAGGGCCACCAGATCATTTACCTGGAGAACCACCACAATGAAAGTTCAGCTAAAGCAAATGCCAAGTAACCAGTTCCTCCAGTTGGGGCTGTTTCTGTCCAGCTACATAAGTTTTGATCACAGACTGAATGAGACTTGCCATGCTCAGAGGTGGGATGCTGGAACTTCTTACCCCACCCTCAGTCCCAGAATCTTTGGTTCCCTGTTCTTAGTGTTCTACCTGCCATGGATCAGCAGTAATTCCATCACCAGCTCACAGGGCTCATTCACAATCTACCAGATGTGTAGCAATCCTCCCATGGAGTGCCTTTATCCCTACAAGTGCCAGGCTTGTCTCAGGCAGTGGGGAGGGTTCCCACATTAGAAGCTGTGCCTGGAGCATCCCAGGGGAGTGCAGACCTGTGAGATGTTCCTGTCACTCACTGTACTCCCTGCTCACTGGATGATTTTACCATCCCTGTGCTGCTGCTGCAGCCCTGGCTGAGCCCCAGCAGTGGGCCCTGGGTATGTGTGTGCTCATTAACACAGGACTAACTCCATTAACATTAATAAACCTGAAGAGAAGCACCTGGATGGTCCTCATGGAGGAGAATGAGAAGTTGTGTCCCCAGCTGCTGGGGTTCCGGGTTCCAACTGCTCCCACCACCCCAGCACAGTGCCCACAGGCACCTGGTGCCACCAAGAATGCCCCCCGTGCCCTCTACATGGGCTGTGCCCACAGCCTGGCTCTGCTACTTGCTGCCAGCACCTTGGCCTTGCTCAAAAGACCCTTTTGTAAGGGTTAAGTGCCTCAGTCTCCTGTTCTCCCTCCCAGTACATGAGCACAGTGGTGTCATCCTGCCCAGCCTCCCCACTCTGTTTTGGGAACGCGCTGTCCCGAAGCCTTTGGGACCCGTTTGCTCTGGGTGCGACCCTGCCGATCCCAGCCCAAGGCAGCCCGAGCTCCCCAGAGACCCCGTCCCTGCAGGCACATCCCTGCTCTGCCTGTTGGGGCAGCCGGGAGGGGG